TTACCAGATTCTGCATTTGCCTCCTATCAATACTAGAATTTAATTTGTTTCATCCATTTAATAAAATTATAATGGTGTGTCCACAATTATAAATTTATACACATAATCTACAATCAGAGGTAGATCAAGAATTTTTATAGTGGTGCTATATTTTGTATAATAGTCCTTACACTTATTTGAACAATTCTGAGGGAAAATTAATAATTTGTACTAAACAGGAGAAACCTAAAGTCTTGTTCAAGTATGTATTTTGGATTATTAAATAATCAAGCAATATAAAATTATAAGGTTAATTTATCATACTCGTATATTATTTTTTAACTAGTATAAACAAATACCACAATGTATATTATTGTAATTTTGTTCTGAGATCTGTATCAAAAATTTTCCACCGGAGAATTTTATATATAGGTGAGTTGATGCTATTTGTACTTTTTGAACTTTTTAGACGATGCTCTTTGCACAAACTAGTTTCTAACAATGTGAATCTAAATAACTAATTTTGTTTTGCATTTTTGCTATTTTGTGTGTTTATTCTTTAGTCATGTTTTGAGATTTTGGTCAAATTTTCCCAATACTTTTAAAGCTATTTCTTTACCGATTGTCACCAATATCCCAACGTTTCTTGTTGCCAATCATTATGTCGATAACTTAAACTACACAAGACATTATAAAACAAATATTTTAATTTTTAATTTTCCATTTAAGACATTTTGTTTTCATTTGTCATATTTTTGAATTTTATAGAAATAGAGAATATTTTAAAAATGTATTTTTATTAATATAAACTATAATATTTGTATTCTTTAGACATTTTGCCATTTTATGGTCATCATTTTTGTTTTAGTCATCAACTTCCGAACTATTATGAGTACTTTAATAAACATATGCATCTGTATGCTTCAGCCCCAAGCACCCCTCCTGGCTACACACCACAACTATCACTGATTACAATACTAATAATATCATTTACGAGTTATGACTTTAGACTTCCTATGGTATAATATATATTGTATTATTAAAAGCTCGATTAACTTGTATTGCGTGATACACTTAATTAAATACACATATACTACTATAGAATATTTGAATCATCGCGTTTGAATTATTTTATCTTTATGCACCTGTCACCTATCGATAAATTAAATCAATAAGTGTTTGTTAATAAGTAACTTTTATTTTTACATAACAACACACGAACAAGTTTGTTATACTTTGAAAACATGCGTAGTTCAAAAAGCAATACGTAACTGAACGAAGTACAACATTAGCTAGGATTCCCAAGTAAGACTTACGTAATAAGTATTTTGGTACGTACAGGGAATTCCGCGCGATCATGAATAACCGTGATACGGCCTGGGAAGTAATAGCATAACGCACCACCACCCCGCCTAACACCTACCTTTCGATACATTATAACAACACCACCGATAACAACGCTGCGCGCACCTAAAGACCGTTTTAAACTGGTATCACTGCCGCCGCCGTTAACTATAGTCGAAATATAGAACATTGACCCGATTGTTATTTTGGCCAACCCGGGCAAACGCCGAAACCAAGATTTGAAAAAAGGGTTGCGCGCACAGCTCGTGGACGGCAATCATAAATCTTGGGACACAAAACTACCCGCCATCCTATTTGCGATACGGAACAGGCTCAATGAACCCGCAGTCCTTGTCCTTGGCAAAGAGGGAAAGAGACCCGGAGATTGGGCCCTGGCCAGTTAGGAGCTGACACAGACGTATAATACACTGGAAGAGCGGGTAGCGCGGGAAACACGCGTATTAGGTAAAAAGGTAGTGGTAAAACCGAGTCACAACACCAGAACAATGGTGAAGTTTGGCAAAGGTGACCAAGTCTACTATAAGGTACACCACTTATCTAAGGCACATAAAAATTTTCATGCCGGTTTCGCACCAAAATGGTGGGGGCCGTTAAAGCTAGCGAAGCAGGTCGGAAAAGGTGTTTTCCTCACCAACCAACAACCTCCGCGAAAATTGCATGTGTCCTGCCTAAAACGCGCACTGAACAAATAAATAAATAAAAAAAAAAAATTACCATGTACAAATGTTTTTTTTTTATGTTTTTGTTTTGTTTAATTAGTCCAGTGAACATGAGCGGTCAGAGCCATGGTAACCAGGTGGAAAAATGGAGGAGGGTCGCCGAACTCATCTCCCAGCTGGGTTTGGTATCAGGCGATCAGGACCAGCCCAGGACAGCGGCGCAGGTGGCACAAATGTCCACACACGACCTGCTCCAGGACCCGGTACGGGCGGCAATTTACCACCGTGGTTGGGATGAGCGTACGGCTGACATACAGCGCACGCTGCAGCAGCCGTCACCAAGAGCCCCCAACAGACACGCACAAAAGGCGAGGCCGATACACGAGCCGCCAAGGCGGCCGCAACAACCAACGGCCGCCAAGACGGTAAATAAACCCAGCTCCGATGCGTCCAGAGGACCGGAACCGGCACCCAAGACGCTCGAAGCACCTCCCACACCACCAGTACGGACAAGGAAAGAGGCTCAGCAGGCGAGGAACAAAAAAAAGTTCCTCAAGTTGAAGGAAAAGAGGAAGGCTAGGAAGCAGGCAGCAAGTCAAAATCATCGATTAGCCAAGCACCCGACACCAACCTCTTTATCCGAGACATCCAGCGAAAGCAGCGATGAAGAACATGACGTATGTATTATTCATATCACGTAATGTAGATTGTTAAATTATTAAAAACATAATTTTCCAGTACAATTTTCCTGACAATATTTTCAAATTTTAAAGTTTTAAAACTGTCTCAAAATTTTTTTATTTTTTTTCATTCATTACATTTTAGTGTATGCTATTTTGACTATACACCAAAATCGAAATATATCTGTATCTGTTTAATTTACATCGTACAAAAAAACTAATTCGAAAAAATGATTGAACAATTTTTAAATTTAATAATAATACTATTTCTAACTGTGAAACGTAAAACATAGTCTAATTGTAATATTATTGATTTTTAAAGAAAAATAATCTAAAATAGTTAACTGAAAAACATAAAATATTATTGTCAAACTTAAAATAACACCTATAAGTACTTAATTTATAATCAACATTGAAACTTAAAACCAAAGATTAAACATGTATATTAATACATTTTATCTATATTATGAATATTGCTATTCGATTAAAATTCATATTTGCTCCTAACATAATATAATATAAATATTATTATTGAAATATTGATCATAATTTCTATACATATCTACATTTATATATAATCAATATACATTGTGTTGACTTACTGATTCATGATCGTCTATCCAAAAACGATAAATCTGTGAGTATGAAATTTGATCAGCAGCTTCATAATATAATATATAGGTATGTTATCAAAAAAGTTTGTAAGATTCAAATGTTATAATGGAATTCTTACAGGCTTATGTAAAACGATTGGCATTTTGTTTACATAGAATTGCCATTAGTTATGAAAATGTTCTAATGGTATTTGGTAACAGCTATCTTCTGACAATGATTTGTAAAAAACTATATTAAAACTATATCTCAAAGACATTACAGATAAGTTGTTATCATTTAATTTTGTAAAATGAATGATAAAACAGATAATTTAAAGATTATTTAAGACTGATGATAACGAATAGGTATGTCATATTTCCTACAAGAAACAATGTACAAAAATAAAGTAATATGGATCCATAAGCCACCATGTTAGGTTTGAACGATATCCAAGTATCTATACTTCCAAGACAATTATACATTTAACATTTTTTGGAGTACCTTAAATGTTTTTAATAACATTATATATCAAAAAAGTTTTAAAAAATGAATGAAAAATGTTTAAAGTTAATAATTATATAAACAACGCCATGATACCAAACGCGAAACATACAATGGCGCAACTAACACAGTATCCTAGAGAGGGAATACTACTGGCCCACCTTAATATTATATTGAAAGTAACCCATATAAAGCATTATTTATTTGGAGAGGACTGTTCGTATATTTTGAGGGCTAAGCTCCATAACATCTCCTTATTTGCGCTTATGGAAAAATAACGGCTTACTGCAGAATTATTAGACTCTTAATGAAAAACTTAATTGAAGGACATAAAATATAAACTTCAAACTTAAAATAACACACCTATTAATATACCTAAGACATCAGACGCGTATTATTATATTAAAATGTTTTATATACCTACTCGTATATGGTATATCATAAATGAGTATATCGTTGTTCCTTGATATTTGTTCCTCACATAAAATATTTATTCATCATGATGTCTATACATACATTTATACATTTTTAATTAATATACATTGTGTTGACTTACTGGTCTCGTTGATTCATCATCGCCTAGTCAAAAACACTGAAGCTGTGAGTATGAAAATTGATCAGCAGCTTCGTAATATGATTTATAGGTACCTGGACTATAAAAAAATTTTGTAAGATTTAAATTTTAATGTTGAGTTGAGAGTTCTCACAGGCTTATGTAAAAAGATTAGTGTTTCGTTTACATAGAGTCGCCATTAGTAATGAAAAATTTTGATTGGTAACAACTATCTAATAATAATTTGTAAGAAACCATATTACAGACATTGTGGCGATACAGTGTTATCACCACCATACCTATACAGGTATTTTTATACCTTTAAGTTTTATTGTACCTAATTATTATACTGTGTGATATGTCCCCCTTTGTAGGTACCCCTCTTTTCGCGCACGACTCGCCCGTTATGCAAACGACGCCTTGGCTCAAGACCGCCTCGCTCACTCGAGTTAAATGCGCCCGTCTCGCAACTTCGACCTCCGTACGACCGAACGTTCGCTAATCGTTCCGTCTCGAACCATAACCAACCTCCATACGCGCGTTCGCGCTGGGCCACGCGTGTTTATCGACCCACCACTTCTTTTTTGTATCATTTTATAATTATTTTTCGTGTACAAATTATTATTTTCTTTTTTATTATCAGATATTAGTTATTACGTATCACGTAAGACCCGAACCCGTTTACGATTCAACGAATCAGATTTTTATGTTGGCTCAATTGTCAAACACGACAGTTGTTGCCACAACATTACAGATAAGTTGTTATCATATTATTTAGTTAAATTAATGATATTACAGATAAACTGTTATGAATGTTTAGGAATGTTAAAATACGGTATTTTATTTTTTATTTTTTTCATTTTTTATAATACCGTGTACACCGGTGAATGATAGGTATTATAACAGTATTATACGGTATAGAACTTTGTAGTACCTTAAATTATCCGCAATGTAATACCGTTATAAAACCATTGTTAATAATGATTGAAATATAAATCATTTTAAAATTAATTAATTAAAAATAAGTAGCTAAAGTTCAGAAAACATTAAAAAAGTACAAAATACAAAAATTATTTTAGACCAAATTCTAAATTTTTACTTAATATCTAGTCATGCTTGATGCTACAAATTATAATGTACCATAATACTATACATTCATATACCTAGTGATTAGAAATGATTAAAATTTAAAATATTTTAATTACAATTAATATTTTATAAAATATAGTAAATTATATTCTTAAAATATCAAAAAAAATATCTTAATAAATTTCAAAATAAATGAGGATTTAAGTTACCATAGTATTATCTGCCAATTAACATATAAATATATCTACTAACTTTTTGGTTCCTACACATTTTTACTTTTTGTTAATACTAAGTACCTACTTATATTTTAATGTCAGAAATGTATTTAAAAAAATTATATTTAATTTTTAAAAAGTTTAGATATAAACAAAGGTATTAGGATATCTGTTTTTATGTTAAATTTTTAAATAGAAATGAATCGAAAATTATAATTAATACTTATATACTATCTCATTATTTCTATATCTACAATATTGTAATAATAAAATTGATTTAAATCATTTCTAATACATGAATGCTAAATAAACATGTTACAATTCATAATTATAAATAGGTAATAAAAATATTATTAATGAAAATAATAACTAAAAGTAATGCTTAAATTTTTTTTTTATACCGGGTGTTTAAGATTGTTTGTACTTTTTGAAAGTGCACTGTGATGATATTAACTTTTGATTTTTTTGAATGAGAATCACTCTTTTTCAATCTAGATTATTTAGTAAATAACTTTTTTTGAAAATGTTTATTTACGTAATTTAAATTCGAATGAATACAGTTAACTAATACAAATCGATGAAAAAATGTAATACAACTGATAATCGTTCTTTTGAAAACAAAGAATTGAAATAACATAATGTACTAATATATTATTATAATATCTTCGACCTTATTGACGATGCGTTACATATAACTGCGATCCGGGTATGTTTGAAAAGGTTAATTAATGATTTGAAATATTTTTATCATAGCAATTGTATAATGACATATTATTGTCAATGTCACAAGTCACGGCTATATTAACATAGTATGTGTCTTAAGTTTTCTCAGAATCTACAATACAATTTATTGTAATTATATTGATCACCTAATTATTGAGAATGTACATAGATACTGTAGTGTAAGAATAATAATTGTAAATTAAGCTATTATCATTGTAATAGTTATTAATTTGAGGCGATCAATGTGCACTGCGCACAACCATGTAAGTGGATATACAATTCGAATTCTGTAAGCAATGGACAGCGACCGTGATTAGTCACGAGTCACGACTTGTGTAATAACGTTGTTTCTTCTTTGTGATACTATTAGTTAAATAACAATTTAATACAATATTTTAATGAACGAATGCGTCTAAGATTGATAAAAAGACTTCAATCGTTACTGGATTTACGGATTTCAAAATGAAAATGACTGTGTTCAGAGTGAGTTGTATTTTGATGATCTGATATATTATGTACTCACGTTTTTATATTTTTTGATTTTTTTGATATTTATTTTATAAACAATATTTATACGGTTTTCTTATAATAAGGTCTTTACGTCGTGCATTGCGACTGTATGCTTCATATCATCAGTATCCTCGAGGGCCGCTCCGGTTCTACCATTGGTTTCGGTTATGAATGATGTGAGTCCGATCACAGAAAAACACTTAGACAAACAACATGAAAACTTCGTCAAGTGAGTTAAGCGATTTTTTCTGTCAACTCCGGAACTAGTCCAAAAGGACCAAAACTCGTAAGGTGTATAATATATGAGCGAAGCTAAATAATAACTAAATAATTTATTGTTATAGTGACACCCAACTATTTTACAACGGATAGGATGAAACCGAAACCACTTTCCAACCCCACCGCATTCTAACATTTCAACATTCATTTAAAAATGTATTCCAATTTTTAAACACGCAAACATTTTTTTATTAATTTTGTCATGACCCAGTCAATTTTATTTTTCAAGTAAAAACATATGCCGAATGGACGTCACTGAACTTATTAATTTAAGATGTGTTTATTCATTTATAAGCATTAAATTTATTATTTATATGAATAAAAACATATATTTTATGCCAAAAAAAAAAATAATAATAATAATAATAATAAATAAGATTTATTCTGCCGGAATGCATCTTTTGCCATCTGCACATTATCTGAATCAGTGAAGGGGGGCAGATGGCTATTTTTTCAAATAGCATGTAAATATAATAGACTAATAAAATATTCAAGTATAATTGTTTTAAATTAAAAATAAGTAAGTACTATGCTTATTGAAAAATTATTAATTTTCCTAGATTTTCCTAGGCCCCTCATTTTATATGCATACAACGAAAAATTCTGTATACTTACAAGTTATAGAGGTCAGAGTTATTAGCGACGAGAAATTGGCATTATATTGGTGGGCAAAATAGTTGTATAACATTATTAATTATTATATATTTTATAACTGTGCTCATTAAATAATTATAATTATTAGCATTTTATTTTTATTTTACCAATATATACATAGATAACACAGTCTTGCTTTTTAATAGCCATCATAGTTCTTTTGTATAATATGTACCTACATAATTTGTTAAAAAAATAAATGTTATTATCATAATATAATTTAATATACTATAATATTAATGATCATCTTTATAATTACGTAAAATAACTTATAAAAGTTAAAATATAAATAACAACTAAATATTTTAAAATAAAAATAAACCATTAGTTATTAGGTATTCATTAGTGTTGTATTAATATTTAATACAAAACATATTAAATAATAAAAAAAAGTATAAACATAGTTAAAAAACCTTTTATTATAAATATAAATTTAAAAGTCTTTCAACTGCACTATTCACAGAAATAAAATTGGCTTTTTTGCATTCATATGCACGATTAAGTAGATATCTTACACATCTTAAACTATTAAAAATTGCCCCAAACAATATATTACCTACATTTATACTGACCATACTGTTAATAATATTTGTTATAACTTCAATGATAAAAGTAAATTAACATAAATATGTATCACTATAATATTATGTTGTATACGTATAAAAAACAAATTTTAGTTGAATTATAAGTAAGCAATTATCAATTTAATTAATATTAAAATAATTACATTAATAATGGTTGTTGCAATACCATCTCAACGATATTTTCACGCGTGTACGATTATAGGAATCGCAATTATTAATTTTTAAGACTGTGATGACAAATTGTTTTTATGCATGAGCACGATGAAAAATTAAAGTTTACAATATAAATCGTATATAACTTACTACATTTAATTAATTGACAGTTTGTATATTTAATAATAATTCAGAGATAGGTAATGATAATATGTCTAATAAGTAATAAAAAGAGCCAATAATTAAGTATCCTAAAGGCTAAAAAATATCAGGAAATTCTTTAAAAAATAACCAAAAAAACTCTTTAATATATTAAAATAAAATGCCTTTTTAACGTAATAATAAAAATGATCTAATTTGTTTTTAATAGACACATAGAGAAAATGAACAATAGTTTAACTTTTGTCATTTTCAACACTTATTTATCTTAATAAAACTAACAATAATACGTAATGAATTTAGGCATTCACAATAAATAAACAGTATGCTTAAAATAACGAAATGATGTAATTTTTACTGGTCAACTAGACAGTTGTTATATATTTAAGTAATACCTTGTAGACATCACATCCGATAACCGCTGTAGATAGATAATGAAATAATAACATTTATAAATAGAACAATTGATATTTGGTACGGATGAAAAATATTAAAAACTATAAAAATAATAAATATTATAAAAACAATATTTCTTATTATAATATTTTTAGGTTTTTAACTTACACTAAAACAATTTATAACTAAGAGAATTAAAAAATTATAAAATAACCTAAAAATGCTAAAAAAAAAATAGTCTAAAAATGGTGGAATATGCGAATTGTGATAAAGTTTGTACCTACTTAGAATAAGGGCGTCCAAAAAATAATTAACTTTGAATTTAAATCCGGTCATAGAGCAATATGCGAATATATAAAAATAAATAAAATAATAAATTGCAATATATACTTGTACAATTACGTACAATATTTATCAAAGATGGATTGCGAGATAAAAAGACAATCAAATTAGATTAAGTTGAGTTATGTGAATATAAGGTCATTAGGTAGTAGTTAATATTTAACATTTTAGCAAATAATTAATTAAATTCGTTGCGTTTAAAGTTCAAACTTCATATGGAATAAATATTAACTTAAGTCGATTAAAAAAAGGAAATGTATTTTTTTAATTATACATGGATCACCTAAAAAATATTTTTTGAAGTTAAAAAATTTAAAACTCAAAACTTCTTAACTCAACTTAAGCTTTTAACTAGTTGATGTTCGCCTTTGATATTTACGAATTTTGTGCTTTATAGACAGAATTTTGTGGATCTCAAACCTTGCGATTCCGAGATAATTGCGAATAACATGTTGCGGAAACTAGCAGTAAACAAGCCGGTGGCATCTACGAAATTTAGCCGATTACGTGGATCCTACGACACCAAAGTAAAAGATCGCTTAAACAAAGATATCGATGACGACAATAATACCTTTTCTTTATTTGAAAATTGGGAAGACGCTATTCCTATATTGATGTCGACATCGGAGCAGGAAAACGAACATTACGAGCTCCCAGAACCCTATAATTCTTTCGAGCAAGACAGTACATATCAGTCCAACGAATCTAACCATCCACAAGAGTCCAACGAATCCAACTATCCACAAGAGTCCAACGAATCCAACTATCCACAAGAGTCCAACGAATCCAACCATTTACAAGAGTCCAATGAGTCCAACCATTTACAA